TTATAATTTTCTAAACATAAATAAGCCAAGTTAATTGTTTGATGTTGATAAAAAAAAGCTAGCTAATAGTTTGAACTCTACCCAAACTTAAGTTTGATAACTCTTGATAAGTAGTTTTATAGTGTTAATCACAAATTCAAATTCGGATTTTAAATTTATCAACTCTACATATGCTGGTTAAGAGTCTTTAGTTGTGAGGTGATACATCTAAGGAGAAGGAGAAAGGATTGTAAAATAAAAGGAATATCATGTGGCATAGTGGTGTACGAGAAAAAAAACATTATTAATTTGCATTATAAAGCAACATAACATTACAAGCAAGATATTGAGGACGTACAATATATATATTAAGCAAACAAGAGGACCCATTTATTCCAATTTCCATGGCCTAAAATCCATATACCTTAGACATTATACTCTGACTATGGCTGCTAAATAACAGAAATTAATTAATATTGTGACATAAACCTATCCCGGGTCCCGAAACATTAGAGTACTGTTCCACAAAGCGGACAGAGAATCACATCCAAAATGCACGACGAAAAGCAGCTGGATGGCTCTACGGGCACTTGGGCTTGCCCTTAGCGTTCTTCAAGTCCCTGTAGCAAGGGCACTCGTGTTTGTTCCCGTAAGTTCCAGAAGGAACGCACTTACACTTCTCACAGCAGATTCCACAATACTTCAAGCACCTGTCCTGCACTGCTGCCTTCGCGCACCTCGCCCCGCATTTCGAGTCGCAGAAGCCTAATTTCCGAAATTCATCAAAACAGACCACAGTGTTAGTAAAAGAAGATAGAAAACCAAAAGAAGAAAAAAAGTCACTGATTTTGATTCCTCGTCCTATTCTTACTTGAACCAGCGGCGGTGGGCTCGAAGGAGGAGCTGAGGAGAAAAGAAACGAGAAGAAAAGTGATGATGACCACCTTCATCTTTCTGAACAGAGAAATTTTGTGCTCTCAATGCAGGGAGAAAGTTTTGTTTTTACACTGAATGTGAGGAGTGGAAGAACAGATGGGTCTTTATAAGAAGAAAACAGAGTTGTTGGAAGAGTTAGTAAAATGCTTATGTAAAAAATAGTAAAAATAAAAATAAAAATATGAACAGAAAATTACAGACTGTCACATGATATCAGGCCATTTCGTACTGATTTTCAAGAAACAGGGATACGAAGTACCGGTTAGTCTTCGATTTTCACACCCTAAGTTAGTATTTTAAAACAATTTCACCGAGCGATTTGATGGATAAAAAGAGATGAAATATTTATCATATCTTAAAATTAAATCTTTAATTATTAATATCTAACAAAATTAATTTATTAACAATTGTTCGAAAAAAAAGTTAGTATTTTAAAGGTAAAACCATAAGTTAAGCCCCTGAACTAACCCCAGAATCGTTATTAAGCCCCTAAACTCTGCAATAAAAGCAATTTAACCCTTACTCTCACAACTAACTTAACTGCTGTTAATTTCCGTTAACTGTGGTTTGGGACTGCCTCGTGTGGCGAAATTGGCCATCTCACTCCCAGGTAGTAAGGGACTTGACATTTGATTTGTCCACTTGAATGAAAAAAAATATATATTTAAGAAT